TCTAAAATGGATAGTTTCGAGAACGTTTGGGGGCAAAATCGGAGAGAACTAACGAAGTTGAACGGTACACTTCAAACGGGGTTCATGGCCGTTTTCGGTTCACGCAACCCTTTTGATCAACCCTTTTCATATTACTACCAACATCGCCATCCTCACACTTTACACCTTCTACTCATATCATCGCTTGTCTTTATCACTGTCTATGAAATTGTGTATCTGTATTTTCAAGAATTTCTGTATGCATGTATATATTCTGTGTATGTGTATGTATATGTGCATATATATATATATCGTTTTGTACATTTATATCATCAACTGATATGATTTGTCGTTTTGTACATTTATATCACCAACTGATATGATTTGCCGATATCATTTGGTATTGTATGGAATGTACCAAAATTAATTTTCAACCATAAATTAAAATTGAAATGTAAGAAGATAAGAAATTGTAAATTGAAATTTAAAATTGAAAATTGAAATGACTATATTAATCATTAATTTGCTTAAAAATTATCAACAAAATTTGATAATAACTGAATAGAAGCTAAAAAAAAATTACTTAAACATTGTTTTTTTTTGTAATTCTTTTTTTTTCATGAATAAAATTACACTCAAGAAAGTGAAAAGAAAAAGAATGCTATTTAACTGTCGAAATAATTAAAATTTAAATATTGCTAAACATATTTTAATATTTACATAGAAATGTAACTCAAATAAAAACCAGTAACGTATTTAGAACAATTTCACAATTCCATCAAATTGCAAAAAAGAAAGTTTCCATTACCTAAATTTTTGACTTTAAAAATTGGAATCATTTGTAACGTCAAATAACGATTAAATTTTAACAACAAAATTCTTTTTTATTCTCCTGGTAAATTTGTCTCATTATCTCAACTTTCATTATTAAAGCTATTCAATTCAAAGTCTTAACAAACATTAATTTACGCTATCAATAATTTTAATTTGCAATTAAAAAAGGCAATGTTTTAATGAATTTTAATTCGATAGCAAAAATTATGGTACAAAAATTATAATTATGATAAAAATTATGACAAAAATTAACAAAAATTATGATATGATAAATTATGATATATCAAAAATTATGATAATTGCAATAAATTATTGAATTTATTTAGGACTACTTTTTTTTTTTTGCTTCCCGTTTTGTTTCATTTTTTTTCTTCAATGTTCATCATAAAAAAAATTTTTTTTTAATAAATTTACATTAGTTTTTTTACAATTAATCATGGTGTGTATTCGAACATCTACTACCATTGGTTCAAAATTGATATAATTCATTCGAAAATCAGAAACAACAATACGAATCAGCAATGGCTACTGCATCATAATTGTTGTCTCTGTACGTATTACAAGTGACCATCGTTGACCTGAATCTTTCTTCATATATCAAAATAAAATATTAATTTTAACGATAAAAATCATCTTTTTGTTCGATGGTGTCCAATGTATATATGCATATGTATTTTCTATATATAGTTTCAAATTACTGTGGAATATCTTCTGTATTTTTTTTCACTCCAAATAAAGCTTAAATTACTATTGTAAATGAAAATTTCCAGAAAAAAGGAAAATTAAAAAATTAAAAACTTTTAGCAATATTTTTTTTATTTAGTATATATGAATTCATGATAGTGGTAATTATATATCGATCGTCTGATAATATTATGCATAAAAAAAAATTTTTTTTTTTTGGTATTTTATAGAAAGAATTATTAATAAGGGAATAATTTTAACTATAGCAAATAATCTATCTATTGCACCAATAAAAATAGATCATTTTCCAGAGCAGATTATTTATTTATTTTTTCATAATAGAAGGCAAAGAAAAAGAAGAAGAAAATGCTGAGAAGCACGGAAGCATCTTTTGTTTTTATGAAAAATTTTGAAGAAACGAATTTATTCTGTTGCTAATAATTGTTTTTTTTTTAATTCCAATTCAAAATTCGTACACCAAAATTGTTTTATTAATTATTTGCTGATCAAAAATTTTGAATATTGCTTTGTATTTTTAATATTTCGTCTTATTTATGAATAAATCAGTAATCAATTTCTTTTTTGATCCATTCAGGAATAAACTTAATTTCAATGCTATTGAGTGCTTTACATTGTTTTATCCCACAACTGACTGTATTATTTTTATTCATTGCTGGAACAGATCAAAATGCTGTGGATGGTGATGCTACTGTAAGGAAGACTGATGAAGCATTCTTTCCTCACATTTTCAAATTCTTATACAAGAATGAACAATTATGTAAGTTATCATTTACCTATAAATGATGTAATTTATGATATTTAGTAATAACAGTAGTGATAACAATACTAATACTGACAATGCTAACGCGAATACTGATATTGACACTACTAATGTTACTATCACTACTGCTATTACTAATAATAATATTAGTAATAATAATAAATAATAGTAGTAGCAAATAATAATAAATAATAAATAATGATAATAAATAATAACAACGAATAATAGTAATAATGACAATAATAATAATCGTAATAGTAGTAGCAATATTAGTGATAATGATAAATTATAATAAATGGATTGCCAACAAAATAGTGTTGTTTTTTGTTCTTAAATTATGAGTTATTTCATAATTATAATTAATGTTAAAAAAAGATGCATTTAGAAAGATCATAATTTTATTGACGTTAATATTTAGGAGGATCCTAATGTGATTGGTAAGCTTCATCATAATTTTGTTTAAAGATCAATTGTTGTTTATATGTATATATAAAGTCTCTATGAACAACAACAGTAAATTATATGAACTGATTGCATATAACCGAAATGAAATCTCCATATATATTTTTATTATATAACTTAGATAGTAGTAATTTTTTTTTTTAGGTGGTGATGTATTTGCTGAACCACAATGGCTTCCGGCACAAAGTGACTGCCAAATTCTATGTCCAGTTTGTTTTCTATTCTTTATGGGTACAGAAAAGAAAAACGGCCACATGATAAAGATAAAAGCTTTTAAAATAATCAATAATTAGGGTAATAGTTTAAATAATGAAAGGATGATTTGTTTTCCAAATGAAAACATGATTTAGATGACGAAAGGTTTATGCCTGATACATGTTAATTTAAGCGACAATGGTGCGCGAATACATAAGCAAAAATGTCGTCATTGCAAGTTTTCATTTATTTTCCTTTTTTTTTTTTCACTAATTATCAAAACAGTACCATCGAAATCTTTACTGAGAGAGCTAGAAAAAATAGTAGCTTCAATTTATTTCTTATGTGATATTTTTTAGATATTATTGAAAAAAGCATTTTGGTTAGATCACGATGATTTGATTGGATCATGATGATTTTGATTAGATCACGATGATTTTCAGTCCCAGCGGATTGTACCAGTGAATTGCAACGATTATTGGTTACTTCTGCATTAACTAATACAACACCTGCTGCAACTATTAACATTATCCCTACAAACGTTACTACTATCTCTTATACAATCATAGATAATTTCACCAGCAATGCTGTCAAATATCATAAAGGTAAGAATGAAGTATGGAATGAATTGCATAGAAGAATTCATGCAAATTATGAAAATAGTGGCACAACCAATACGACACTTCAACCGGCATCTGAATTATCATGGAATGGACATGGTGGAAAACGAAAAGAAACTCAATTTAAAGGAAAATTTCACGGTAAGATCATTAAGAATAAAGATGTTATTCATGGTTATAGAATTAATAATAAAAATTTGAGAAGTTTCAAATTAATTAGCTTAATTAGATGATGAAAAATTATCCTACATAAATTCATAGGCACATAAACTAATAAGAATTAAAATTTCATGCTAAATTCTTATTCAGAAAGTTAACGGCCAAAAATGAATTTAAGCACAAAGATTGATTAGACTAATTAGATGATCAAAAATTGGCCGATAGATTTGCGAGCACTTTCAGAAAATTCAGCATAGTAGTTACTCGCCAAAAAACAAACTTAATAAATCAATAAGAGCATAGAAATACAAATTTATAAATACATGAAATTTGTATTCCTATATTTTTAATAGGAATACAAAAATTTAATATGAATGCAAATTTCAAAAAAAAAAAAAAACAAGATACACATTATCAATCGATAATTATGCAAAATTCAAATTCAACGATTGAATAGTCTAGTAGTTAACATTATAATATTTTGAAATTTCTTATCATGAAGTTGATCAATTGAGGAATTATGTTAAAAATACATCAAAGTTACAAATTTATTCTATGTGCCAGGAAAAAAACGTTGTTCTCTAACACATGGAGCAAAGTTGAAGCCAGCAAAACAAGCTATAATATTTAATTCACAAATGATGCAGAATATTTTATAAGTTGAATTAAATTTCTCTAAAAATCTATGAAAACAATCAATTTTATGAAGTGAAGTGAATTTCATTCCGGCGCAATAATTACTGACAATCCTTTTCCTCCATATTTACAGTGTGCAGGTAGAAGATGATGAGAAATGAACAATAATATCGATGATCATTTCCATTTCCAGACGAATTCATTTACAAGCAAACAAAAAGGCTAATTCAAAAAATTGAATTAATGAATCGGTGCGATTACAACCTCAATAATTATCACTGATAAAGTTGATAAGAAATTATCCAAAAAGTCAGCTGAACTTATGAAAATATTCAATAGACTTCTATGTTTCAGACCAATTTATAATAAATTCTTTCCGTCACAAAACGCAATACATCAAAATCATTGCATGCTAATTTCAAAGAGTACAAATTATGATAATGGATGTGAATGTATTATGAAATTTAACACTAAAATATGAAATTTCAGTTAATTGAATGGCTAAGTTTGCGTGATGTCCGAATACGATTGTTAATGTGAACGAATAACTTGGCGATGTATTTATTATCATTAAATCTAATTTATTCATGAATAAGAATTATTATCATAAATGCAAATTTAGCAAAAGACATAATTTTCTGGCACAATATGAAATTTTAATGAATTGTCAGTGATATACTACAGTGATATCAGTGATACTATTACTCTGATCATATATATGCTAAGAACATGATGTATGCTATAATGTATGCTAAGAACAAAAAATAATTTTGTTTTGCAACAAATTTTCCATGCGAATATTTGCTAATACGAATACAATTGTTTGCTTATTTATCAATTCAAAAAGCAGAATTGATAATGAGCAATATTTTATCAAATTTTATTTTAGCAGTAACAATAACCAATTAACGGGTGAATATTAAAAGTATTCATTGAAAGTATTTAACAGATGAATATTAAAAGTATTTATCACATATAATTCTTTATTATTGCTAAGAAAAAGCTAATTTATCATTATATTGTTTCTAAAATTACATTATATCATATTTGTTGAAATCTTTGATAAATAATTAATTCTTTTTTCTTTAAACCATTCTCTTGTAATTGATACAGTCAGTATTAAACAATATTTTTTATAATAGCTACATTTATTTCGCAATTATTGTTGCACTTTGATATATTATCTAATTTTTTTTGCAATAAAAGATTATAAATTGCAAAGAAATTATTGTTTTGTATTAAATTAAAAAAAAATTACGTACAATGTTCATTTATAATAAGCAGATTGATTATGGATCAATAACACTGATAATTCTTATATGGCTATTTTGCAAATTTTTAAATTGAAATATTTTATGCTCGAAATAAGCATTCAGAGGTTCATGTGATTTTGCTAATGGAAATGAATAAATTTGGAAGAAGCCATACTGTACATTAATTCATTCCAACAAGTTATTTCTTATCATCGGATAGTATAATTAATTGATAAAATATAATTATGATAATTGTTCATTATAAACAGTTCAATCAATCCTTGATCCTACTAACCTGACAGTATAAATCAATTGATTTAACAGCTTAAATAATTGGTAAATTTTTAAATCATTTCCATTTATAGCAACAAAAAATTATGCAGCGTGAACAGAGATCTTTTTTTTCTTCCTTTGAAATTATATGAAATTTAATTTTTCAGTGCATATTTTAAAAAATCCCATTTTCAGTGGATACCTAAAAACGATGCAATAAATGTTTGAAATTGAGATGAATTTTTTATATTGCAAAATTTTTGTACAATATGAATAATGAAAATTATTTAATATTTCAGACTTTAAATAATGAATTAGTAATGGAATTGCTGCATGTAATAAGTTGAATTGTTATGAAATTTTCAAATATTCCAATATAAAAATTTATAGCCTCAAATAAAGTAAAAAATAATGGTGCTAAAAAATTATTTTAATTCCAATTTCATTTCACCTTATTATTTTACCATTTTATCTAACTACCGATAGTGATAGTGAATTTTAATGTACGGTTTTTCGTTTTTTTCATTAATAACAGTCAAACTATGCTTTTATGATATTTCTGTTAAAATATGTGCTTGCATATTTTTTTTTTCATTAATATATTTTTTAGTTTACAATACATCGCAAAGATACCTACTTATGAAACAGTTTAGATGGAAGAAATATACTGAAATCTATTTCTTTTTATTGTAAGATCGATTAAGTTGAAATAAAATTTCATTTTTTTTCATAATATAAAGAACGCTTCAAATCGCTCCTACATTTGTTGTTGTGTTGGTTCAATTTCTTTATAAAATCAGAAAAAGAAATTGAAAGATTTTTATCCCTGATTTTATTACAGAAAATTTTTTAAAAAAAAAAAGCAAATTTTCGAACTGAGGTGATTAAATTAAACAAACCAAAAACTCTGTTGAATTCTTTATAGAAATTGCAAAAGTTGCAAAGGCAACCAAGGAATTGTTGAATTTTTCAAACAAACAAATGAGCAAAAATAATAAAAGATCGTTGTCAAAATTGAAACTGTTTAAAGTTTAACAATTTATTTGACACTTAAAATTTTTGTGACACTTATTTGTAGCATTTCGAGTGTCACAAATGATTCGTCCAACTGTTCCTTGATTAAAAGTTGTAATTTCATTTTCAAACAATTTAATTCAATGTTGGTGGTTGAAAATTTCTCAATTTCTTATTATTCTTATAAATTTAATCAATGTTAGTGAAATATGCCGAAAAGTTTTTCATAGTAATCAATCATGGTTTTATTTGAATGGATCAATTACAAATCTGAAAGATGATCATGCTGAAAGAGTGTTATGAAATTTTTAAAATATACAATATTTGAAGAAAAAATAAGGAAAGAAAGTTCTAATTTTGTAACATTACGGTTCGTGCATTAAAATTTTTCTTCATTAAGTTTTTATTTTTCCTTTTTTTTTCTTTATTAAGTGTTTATTTTTTATCAAGTTTTTACGGTTAACAATTCATTTATTATATTTCATGAAAATTTTCCCGTTAAATAATTATTTCTGATATAAGATTATTGTGTTACAGGATATATTAATTTAAAAAAAAAATTACTCCTAATTTAATATATGGGAAGGTGTAAAATTATAAATGAATTTTTATTTTTTTTCATTAACGAACAATTCAACAGATAATTTGTTACAGCCATGCAGTTCGCTATTATAATCGATGATTTTATGAGAAGTGAGCAAGTAATGAAAGCAAAGAAAAGAACTTTCAATAAAAAAAATGTAATATATCTGACAAGAAGTCATCATGGGAAGCAAAATGTTCTTTTGTAGGGTTTAAGTTTCCTTAACAGTTCTGGAGCTGCTTAATGATAGCAAAATCGGTTCGTCCACTTTTTTGTCCAATTTATTCATTCCTAAACCAGAAAAGTAAATTATTTATTAGCTCATAATTATGTAATATATCATATTGATAATATATGTGTATCATTTCAACAAATATAAAAAAAAATCTCTTAGAATAATATCATTATTTATGATAATAGAAAAAAAAGTATAAATGAAGGCAAATGAAGATTTTCGAAATTTTTTACAACGATTTTATTTTAAAATTTTCACAATAATTTATTATGAAATGAATAAAAGACATTTATTGTAAATTGTTGATCGAGCCCAAAAATTTTTTATTGGCAAAAAAATGGTTATGGGAAAATTAGTGTGTAAATTGAATGAATGCAGAGTTGAGCGAGAAGTTATAATTCTATACACTTATTTTTGATAAATGCAATTTAAATAAAAGAAAATAATGATCAGTTGAAATGCTATTAGCAATTCCTACAGCAATTGCATAAACAAGAAATTAATTTGAGAATACAATTTTTACTTTCCATATCAATTATTAGGATATTCCCATCGAGTATATTTATATTTTAAAATTGAAGTTCATAATATTTAACAATATTCACAATTTCAAGTCTCTGAAAAATTTCTGAGAAATTTGTATTCATCCTATATCAATTTATATTTTAAAGTTGGAATTTACAATGTTTAGAAATGTTTAGGTATTGAAATTCTGAGAAATTTTTTCTTCTCCCCAGTTAGAACAAAACGAACGATAGCAGTCGTCTGGCTATATTATCATATTATCTTTAATATTATCATTGTTCTGTCATTATGATAAATCCAAAGATGAGCCTAACATAATAGACGAGTATCATAATGGTGGAAAATATTTATCAATTACGCTTTTTTTTTGCTATTTCTGCTATATGGCATTGCTAATAATGCATTAATGATAATTGTATTTTGCACGAGACTTTCGAGCGAATTTCCATTATCTTGCATTCATTCGTATCACATCACAATTGATTATCTGCAATTTTTTCAATTATTCCTCACAAACTGCTCTTTTATTACCTGAAATATTTTATTTGCATACAACATTCATTCATTATGATTCATTGCAGTTTGGTGCATTTAAATTTATTAGCGCATAGTGTATTTAATTATTCAAACTACAATTCAGCGTTCTTCAATGAAACATGAAACTGGAATTTAATAATATTTGATGAGTGATAAATAATCAATTTGCTAGAAAAATTAAAAAAATGATATCGGAAATTT